AAGGGTGTGCGGGGGGGCCTGGGAGGGAGGGGAAGGGATGTTCGTGCCCGGTATCCATGAGCTCGCTGTGGTGAGAGCTGGCGTTCTAGCCCTCGGAGGTCTGATGGCACGCTTTGCCCCACTCAACCTTTTTTGTAGATCTCCTGCAAGAAAAAAGAAAAAAAACACAACAGAAACCGCCTAAACGGGTAGAACAAGTGAAGGATTCTGTGAGAAAGCTGTTGCTGTGCTCCAGAGTGTGGTAGGTGAGTGCTGTCAGCCAGATCCGCTTCCTCAACCCCTCAGCAGCGTTGCTCGGGTGATTCAGGACGAGCCAGACAAGATTCCAGAGCGTTTGGGGTTTTCTACGTGCCTCACATGTCAGTCAAGCTCATGCCAGTCTACGTACGGTATAGTCGCAATCAGGAGTTTCAGTGGTTTAAAGTGTCTCGGTTATCCTTAGCCACCTTTGTGGAAGTTCTGGTGTACTTGGTATTGTCCATAAATGCTGAGGTTTATACGTTTCGCTTGAAGTCAGTGGATTTTCTTTGTAAATGTGGAATGTGTGTGTGTGTCAGCGGGCGCTTCCAAGGAGGTCTTGGCATAGCTAGCCAGAAATCTCTTCTTGGTATCCCACATAGGGAACTTAGTGACAAACAAACCTACAGGAAAATAGGGATGATTCTGATGTCTTAATTGAGAGTTGCAGAGAGAGTATGAGTTTAAAATCACGTGGTTTATTGTGTCAGGAAACCTGGGAAGCAAAAGATAGGCTCCAGCAGTCCGATGACCTGCATGCATACTCTACCAAATCCAGGAAATTGTAGCAAAATTTCAGGTTTTGTGAATAAAAAGTTGATTTTCCCAGCACACAGAGGGGAAATTCCACTTTTCACAGTTGTATTTCTCCCAGAGTTAGATAGTTTTGCAGTGTTGGTTGATCTTGTGCTCTACTTGGAAGCTCACCAAAACTTCATGTTTCTTAAAATCCTAGCTTCTAGGTGGAAAGGCTGCAGAAGAATCTAATTTTTGTAAAATAGGAAGATAAAGGTTGTTATGATCCTCTAAAATCTGTACTTTAGCTTTCAGGAAAACGTGACCTGTTGACTGTTTACATTGATATATACAAGTAATGAAATCAATAATGCACAAAATAAACTAAATAAAAGGAAATTGTTGATAGTGTTTTGCTAGATTTCTGCTTGTATTAGTTTTTGGATCCAAGTACTAGAAAAAAATTTATCAGACAATTTTTAAATTGAAAGGAGTTTGTGTTAATGTTTTTTTTTTCCTTTTTAAATGAAAGAATGGCATTTTTATACACTATTGTCTTTTCATCTTCCGTGTCTGTTGTCTAATCGTTTTGGGGGCAGATGGCTCTCAATGATTCCCTCTGAAGTTATTCTGTTCTGTCACGCAGGATACCTCTAAAAATCTGTTTTTCAGGAAGATAATTTTTTCTTTTCTTGCAGGGAACTAGCTCTCTGATGTTCTTCAGCTGTTGGAGGTTGACGTATTTTCTTGCCTCTTCATGATGAAAGATTCGAACCCACGTGACAAATGAGTAAAATTCTCCAGTCTCAGCTGGGAGTCTGAAAAGATGCAGCGAAGACGGAGTTCTAAGACCCCAAAGCAGCCTCTGCAAGTTCTTCAGAAAAATCAAACTGATCTCTCCGCGTGGCGGAAAGAAGGGAAAACTGACTCTGCAAAGAGTGTCTGGAACCATCAATCTCCGAAAGACCAGAAAAACGACAACGAGCAAGACTCCCTTGAGCAAGCTTTGAGCTTCTTTGAGAAAGGCAAGAGCAGTTTTAAGCTTAGCGATTGAAAAGATGACTAAATTCTTAAAAATAAAGTAATAAAAACATAATTTTTATGCTGTTTTCTCTCTTTAATGCCTGAGCTTTGCAGTATTTTTTTTAATGTCTCAAAAAGTTTTCCCCTTTGGGTTACTCAACAAAAAGGAATATACATGTAGGGACAGTTCAGAGAAGTTTAAAATAGTTCGCTTTCAGTTCGGAAGTTGTTTCACTCTTTTGTCTGTTGTCTTTTTTTCCTTAGTTCAAGACCGTGTTTCGCTGAAAAAGAGCAGTGCTCTGCAGAAACACTTGGCTGCTGTGGAAACTGTTGCCCTGCAGAGCGGATTACCCCCTGAGGGATTTGATGTGTTGCTGAACGTGGCGCTCAGTGGCAAACTTGGTAAAGTGTTTATATACTGCCAGAATGTCTTCTGTGAACATCTCTTTTGCCTCCAATTAAACCTGCTGGAGATAACTGGCTTGAAAGGGTGAGGTGTTGGGGTCGGACGACTGTTTCGTTACGCAGCTTAGCATAAATTTAATCTAGAAATCACCTCAGTCCTTGCTGTGACACCCAGAGAAACATTAGACATTGCAGACCTCTGGAAGGCTGAAAGCCTGTCCTCAGCAACCCTTGTGTCTTTTCGTTGTTGGAACTGTTTATATAGTTGGGGTTTTGTGTTTCTTTTTTTTCCCCCCCCGAGATTAAAAGAATTGAACAATCTGATATAATTGTATTAAAATTAAAATGCCATCTTAACGTTTCATTCACCAGCGTCAGTGAAGCCTTTGTGCTTCTTTCTATACATGGTCACCATGTATACTTTTAAATAATGAAATATGGAATGGAAAAAAACCCCTAAACTTTTTCCTCGAGGAGCACACAGGTTTCTTTCTCCATTATGCGAGCAGTTTAGTGCTTTTCTTGATTTTAAAATTACCACCTCATCTCCAGAACACTGCTCTGACAGTCACATACTCTTTTGCTGAAGGAATTGTTTAATGTTACCACAAATTTGCGTTACTTTTGGTTGTCATGCCAACACTCTAAAAGCTATTTCAGTACCAAAAGACTCCATATGCCATTTTCTTTCTTTAATGCAAATATTTCTCTTAATTGTTGAGGTATAGGTAAGTGCCTGCTAGATTCTTGTGCACTCTCACTTTAAGCAACAAAGCTCCGAATAATCTTCTCCAGAGGGAATTTTGACCTAAGCTGCAAAACTATATCAAAGAACTATATCAAAGCACGATCTTATTTTAAATGGTTTATTTTTTTTTTTTCTCCAGCTGATACAGTGAATACTCGTATATTGAAGAGCCTGGTTCCAGCTTCAGTAATACCAGAAGATGCTGTAGTTTCAGCTGTATCTTGGCTCTGTGTTGGCAAATGCTCAGGCAACGTCCAGGTAACTTAGTTACTGTTTACAGTGCTTGTTGCTTCTGCACAGGAATGATTAGGATAGATTATCTTTAGGAAGCAAAAATCCTGAGATTCTTACCTAAGATGCTGTCATTTAGAAAGATTCCATTGCTGGAACGGCATTTGGGAACCAAGGAACACTTTTTCCAGTGTGAGAGTGGAAATTTGCACGGTTCCTGCTTGTCTTGGATCCCTGAATTCTTTAGGAATCTGTTGTAATCAAACTTAAGTTTTAAGGAACTAATTGCTTAATGAATAGCTAATTACCATTTTAATTAAATTAGTTTATTAATTTATATTAGGATAAGGAATATAGTACTTTACTTATGCTAAAAAGTCATATGTGGGCTTTAGCAAAAGCCAGAGCTGTGCAAGCTGCAAAGCTGGCAGGGGATGTTTGGTACTTGTAAAAGGTCTCACCGCACCTACGATTTGGTTTTACCGCACCTGTGATTTGGTTTTACCGCACCTGTGCTTTGGTCTCACTGCCCCTGTGCTTTAATAACAATACCAGCATACTTCATTTAGACAGATCAATAGGTTGTGTTTCACGCAGGCAGGCCTCCCTACCTCCCTACTGCCCCTTTTTTGTTTTGTGGTTAAATGTGGGCTCACCCCAATAGCCAGCGATTGTATGGAAATAAGCTATATGAATATTAACAAGGGTTGAACCAATCATTATGAAGGTTAAAATTAATAGCGGACAGTGTATGCATGTTTATGTTAAAATATTATAACTTTGTAAAAGAGTGTATAAATAGATTGAATTTTTGTGAGGTATTCGAAGCATTTGGTGGATCCCGGGCTTCCCAGCGCTGCAATAAAGAAGTGCCTGCTCATCTACTGTATAAGTTCTGTCGTTTTTGCGACCTTCCCTTTGAAAAATCGCAACAAATCCAACATCTGTGTGCGATACTTCAGCTGAGTGTGGTGTTCTTCACCCAGCTTCAGCAAGGTGTGCTTAGACCATGGCAACATGACTTAACCTTAGCAGAACAGCCTCTTTCATTTTCATGTAGTCTGCTCAAAGGTTTACACGATAGAATCCTAGACCTGTTTAGGTTAGGAAGAACACACTTCCCTGGGCAGCCTGTTCCAGTGCTTGATAACATTTTTGGTGAAGAAATTTTCCCTAATGTCCAATCTAAACCTCCTCTCGTCCTATTGCTTGTTACTTGGGAGAAGAGACTGACCCCACCACGCTACAGTCTCCTCTCAGGTAGTTGCAGAGAGCGATAAGGTCTCCCCTCAGCCTCCTTTTCTTCAGGCTGATCAACCCCAGTTCCCTCAGCCGCTCCTCGTAAATCTGGAGCTCTAGACCCTCCCCCAGCTTTGTTGTCCTTTGCACCCGCTCCGGCACCTCCATGTTTTTCTTGCAGTGAGGAGCTCTCAGATCACAGCTGAGGGTTAGCACAGATTCAGAAACAATCTGCTGCTTCCGTTCCCATACAGCAGTTCGTGCTCGACAGGCTTTTTTGTCCCTCTGCTGTTCATGTGTAGCTGTCTGGTTGTCCCTGAGAGTGGCGTGTATCCTTAACAATTGTCTCTTAAACTGGCCAGTGACAGCTCGGTCTTGCTTTTGCCCATCACTTAATGCAACGTGGCTTTTTTTCCTGTCCGCAGCTCCTTTTTTTAAGATGGCTGATCACGGTGTTTGACTTCATCGATCGTAAGGAACAACTTCATGCCCTCTACGGTTTCTTCTTTTCCTTCTTGCAAGATGAGAAGATGGTAAGGAGAGCTGAAGAATATATGGAATTGACAAAATCAACCTAAATGTTCTTTAGGAGCAGGCGTATTTAATTACTCTGAAGTAGAGACTGTTTTCTGAAGGCTGGAACCTTTTTTTTTCATTTTACAAAAATTGCTGGGTACTTTAGATTCAGAAACATGGAAGTACTGTAGGGTTAATTTAGTTTCAACACTGTGATCTGGTTGTTTAAACATGTTTCCACAATTTACTCTTCTGCATTGCGGAGTGGCAAATTCTGTCAAATTCCTGACAGTAACTGTGACACTGCGGTCTCTGGGATTGCCTTTGATGTCAGACATCAGCAGGTGAAGTCTCCCAATCCTTCTTGCAAAGTTTTTAGTGGCTTTAGGTTAACATTAATTATAATCTTTTCATAAAACTGGATTTAAGATCTTACTGTTTAAAATAGCGTTTTCAGGCCAACTGGAAAGCGTGCCAGAGTTAGGTGTGAAACTTAAATAAGACACTTACAGCCTCAACTGTAGTTAGACGTTTTAAGAAATTATTCTGATTCGGAGGTGCCTTCCTTCTTGAACTTGTAGTTGTACTGCTGCCTCCTGAAATCTCTAGACCACGTTCCAAACGACGAGATTCAAGCTCACCGAAGAGCTTGGTGACTGTAGGGCCTGCTCAGAGTGTAGATAATGTTTTTTAATAAAATTTGAATCTGTGACATATAAGGAGAAATAAAAAAATGCTGCTTTCTAAGGAAAGGAGCGTGTGCTCTGCCCCAGCGGTTACACAGCGATGATTTGAGGCAACTGAATGCAAGAATATTAATTTGTGAAGCCTGGCTGCTGCGTTTAATGTAGCGTCATTAGCGATCCGGGTAGTTCATCGCTGCCTTTTCTTTGTAGTGCCCCTACGTCTGCCACGTACTCTACCTGCTGACCAGGAAAGAAAGTGGTGAGTCTCTCCAGTTTTATGAGGTGGAATATCGGTTTCTTTCTTATTCTCTTTGCTGGAAAACCTGTCTGCTAGCTGAGAAATAACCGATTGGTTTTATGTGCTTTGCTGTGCCTTTCTGTAGTAAAAGTGATATCACATTTTTGCTGAAGTGTCTGATTCCATGGTTTTTAAACCTGTTGTGTTCCTAATTGTACTTCCAGTCAAGCCTTTTCGGGTTAGGAGACTGCTTGACCTCCAGGTGAAAATGGTGAGTTCATTTCAAATCTCGTAGAGTTTGAACTGTGGTTAAAAATGCGATTTGTAAGACTCACATCCTTACAGGACAGAGGAATGGGGCCTGAGTCTCAGGACAGGGTGGACTTGGAACTGTAGGTTGTAGTCTTTGAAGCATTGGGGCTCGTCTGTCCTGCATGTACCTCCCTAATTTTCATCTGTGTTTTGTGAGCACGTGAGATAACATGCCCAGACCCATGGTTAGGTGTGGTAAAATCTCCGGAGGAAGGGGCAACTTTGTTTATCTATCACTGTCTAATTTTCTATTAATCTTTTTTCAAGTGGTATAAAAAATGAGAAATGGATCATAAAGAATCTTGCTACTTTTTTGTAACGAAAAGCTGTAGCTTTTGGAGTATTTAGACAGCATTTAGAGTTATGACTACAGAAAGTTCCTTCTTCAATACCCTTCCTATGGTATTTCACTGACACAGTTTCTGGTTTTTTTCTATTTTAAATTGTTCATCAGTGATTGCTTACTGACATGTAACTTTAGAAAGCTTTTACTAGTAACTGTATTTTTTTTTCTTCTAGAATACAGTATATAGTTTCTATATTAAAAACATAACCCCACATATATTTCCTCTTGTTTCACTTTTTTGACAGGGAATGCAGTCTCACCTGCAGGCTCTGCTGTCACTTTACAAACTCTTCTGTCCTGAGCTGGTGACCATAAACCTTCCTAAGAAAGCGAAGGTAAGAAATTAGATTTAATCTCTTTGTAACCAGTACTTACAACTGTATTTGCACTGAGCTTTCCGTTTAAGCTATAACACGGTTTAGTGCTGAAGACTTAATTCCATTTCTTTTCATTGAGTAAAATCAGGTTTAGATGAGGATTCCTTGTGTTGTGTTTTGCTTCCTCTTCAGCACAAGGAGATGTTTTGGAATGGCATCCTCCTTCGTCCTTGTAAGGATTCCTTTAATCCTCCTTTTGGAGTTCTTACTGGTCTTGAAGGACTTAACATTGTGTGAAACCAGTCAAGTTCTTCTTCTTGTTTTCACAAAGCATTGTCCAAATTGTCTTTCTCAAGTACAAATGCCAATGGAATTCAGTAAATAATTTCCTACTTGGAAAGTCTATGCCACAGGAAAGAGAAAAAAAGGTGGGGAAAGAAATGGTGGTAAATTGATTTGTCAGAGCCTCACTGTAACAGCAAAAAAAAATATGAGTTTAGAGAGGCCTATGTGTATGCTCAGCCCTTTGACCGAGTAGATTATATGTAGCAGAAACTGAATATATAACAGAAAATAACAAACCTAAGTTCTGCACCAAATTTTCTTTTGGTACTTCCGTGGGATAGACTTAGGATTTTCTGAGTTTTTTGTTTCTTTTGCTTTTTTTTTTTTTTTTATGAATAGGCAAGTTGTCTTTCTGTGAAGAAAATTTCTTTTATTTCAACCTGCTTGTATACTTACGTTGTGCGGCACAACGCAAAGTATAAATTTATAGAGCAATCATCCGCTGGAGAATTTACATTTTTGGCACGCACAGCATAACTAGCAACTAAAATCCAACTACATCTTCAACTGTTTTAATGAATACACCGTGTTAACTTGCATAATAAAAGCTTGATTACAGAAGCCCACACCAACCTGAATATTTTTGTGATGGTTTGGCACTTGATTTGGGTTGAAAGACTGGTTGCAACTGAGTTGGGGGAAAAGTAAGTTTTGTGCAGAAAGGATGTTGCATTGATTTTTCCAGTTTTCTTTTTAACTACGGTAATTTGAGAATTCGTTTAGTCATTGTTTGGCAGATGTCACGGCTGCTGAATTTGGGAAGCTTTCCTAGTAACTTGCAGAACACCTTGGTCATGACTTATTTTGATGTATGCTTGAGATTTACTCTGTGAATTGATTGGAGTGAGGGTTATAAATCGCAAGGGTGGAGATCCCTTCTGAAAAGGGGACACCATTTCAGAAGGAAGGAAAAAAAAAAATCCCTTTTGCTGAGGAATTAGGAGAGTTCTGTGCTGTGAGAACCTAACCTCTTGGCCTCTCCAGCCAAGCTGACCGTCTATACAACACTGTGGTGAAGTTTGTCAGGCCAGAAACTGATCTTTCTGTTGCTTTGTCTTAGTTTGGCTCCTCCACCAGATGTCCGATTTATGTTTTTCAGACTTACTTCAAGAATGCAGAAGGCCCGTGGAAAGCAGCAATCAACGCAATAAAGCGAAGAAAGCAGGAAAACTCTCCAGTGTCCCAGGCGCTGTTTTTAGGCACGGCTCCACCTCAGTCACGAAAAAGGGTAGGTTAATGTCTAGGAGGTGTCTTCGTTATGAATATTGGCAAATAATGGGAGCCAGGATTTACTCCAGCTCTAGGAAGGCTGGAGGAGCTCTATAGAAATGCAGAATTCCAATTATAATGAAATCCTGGATACCTGTTTTTATGGGAACGCTGGTTGCAAGCGCACTTGATTGCATCGGAAACGATAATCGCTATTCATTTGCGTTCCTTTTCCACAGAAATGGAATAGCCAACTGATCATATATGCGAGCAGCGTGGACAGAAATAATTTGGAGGAGGACAGGCAAAACAACTGTGGTGATTTGTGTAGCCAGTCTCTTCCGCTGGAGCGGCTGCAGACTTTTTCTCAGCTCCTACACAATATCCACCGCCTAGAGGTGAGTTTCAGGAAAGGTCTCGCTAAGCTCACTGAATGTTTCGAGAGATATTCCTCTGCGCCCTGTTTTATTAAATAGTCTGTGTGCTGCCTAGTTCTAACAGAGCCCCTTCTCCTACCTGATGGTGACAAACAAGTGCTGGAGATGGTCTTGTTGGCCAACGCTGACAGGATGAGCTACTCTGGCAGTTTGGTGACGTAAATACTGATTAACTTTTTTCTTGATTTCTCTCATAGTTTCCTTCCCGAATGGGTTCAGTGCTAACGAACCCCTTGCTGCTTCACTACATGAATTGTGTCAAAGACGAATCTATTTACCTGAGGCTCTACTATTGGATGGGTCAGGTTCTTCAAGAAGGTAAGAACCTTATTACTTTGCGTGGTGGGGAGGTAAAGAATGTCTGAGGCTTTTCACTTTTCGGTATTTGTGCTTTGCTATTCAGATTTGTCATGATAATTGCGCCGCATTGAAACAACCGCTGGAGGAGAACGGAATTTTGTTTTTGATTGTGCTCCTTCTGTTTAGAATGCACCTGGTGCGTGGCTGGTAACAGTGAATATGAAGAAGAATTCAAGGACTTCCTAGAAACTGTCTACAAGACGGAGTGTTTCTTGCAGGTAAGTGCTTGTTTTGTGAAGTTTCGTAAAATCTTGTCTTAAAGTATTTTTGGGACTTACCTGTTTCCTTGTAATATCTTTGAGAAGTGATAGCGAGTGTCTCAAGGAAGAAAGATACGCATTTCTAGAGCGAGTCAATATTCTGGAGTTGGCCTTGTTTTCTGCAGGAAGGGTAATTTGAGAATGATCTCGAGAACGATAATTTGAGTGTCGTGGTGAATTTTATGGCAGAAAGGACGTGTAAGCCTCTCTATTTCTGCAGGGTAAAGTGAGCATGGCAAGGCACAGGCATACAAGATGACATTTTTGAATGTTTATCTGCTCTGTAGGAGGGATTTTCTTCCTGTGAAGAGTTCCTGTATAAGACCCTTCCTCTCTGGGACGGCTTCTGCTGCCGATCACAAATCCTCAGACTTGTGAGTTGGATCCCCCTTAGCAGCTTCTCTGGTATGTGTCGCAGATCCTTTGGGTGAGGCTGGGCAGTGCCTGATCTTGGGTGACAGAATCTGTGCCACAGGTATCACGTTGCTTTCTCCTTTGTTTCAGAAATGAAGTCAAATCTCTATGATCCCCTGTCCCAGCTCTTTTTAACGTCGTCCCTTTACTTTAAGGTAATTTGTGGGCGCAGTGGTGGTTTGCTTCTGGGTGCTAGTGCTGTCTGCGCCTCTCGGATGTAGCAGCCTGAGGGATAGTATAGGCGACTTTTGCGGGGGAAGTCTTTGCACAAACAAGGACAAAATATAAACTTACGATGTTACTCGGGAATCTGAGTGTCTTTAAGATTTTTTTTTTTGTTTGTTTACATTGGGATCTAAACTGGAGCACTGGAAATCAAAAGAACTGATAGTACACAGGACAACAGCTGAGTGTTTTAATTGGAATTTTTACTCGGTATTTGCAACTTGCATTCTCTAGGGAAATCTATGTAACACATTCAGTTCAAAGGGACATACAAGTATTTCACTGCTCTTTGTGGCCCGAGAAACTCTTCTTATCTATCTCTGCGTGTGTCAATTCTTTTTGTTTAGTATTATTCACTTGTGTAAATTGTCTTTTTGCCTCTTGCAGTGCAGTGTTCTTGAGAGCCTGAGGGAGCTGTTGCAGAACTGGTTAAACTGGCACATGGTTTACCTAGATTCAGAATCTGACTCTCAAGGCCATTCTTCGTAAGTTTGTCTGAAATAAATTGTTCACTAGTGTTTTTAGAGATATGTTCTAGCCCTGTCACCCAGCGTAAAGACCAGCTGGAAGATTAATACTTCTGCGATGCTTCTCCTATGTTGTAAGCTGCCTTGTCAGTCCTGTTCCTTCTTTCTTTGAAAGTATTTCAGTTGACACTGAAGATTTGAAATGTCCAGAAGTCAAAAAAATCCTTGTAACACTGGCTCCTGTTTGTAAAAATGTTGGCAACAATATGTTACCATATATATTGATGGAAAAATACACTTTGCTGAATACTTGAGTTTGTAAAAATGTTGGCAACAATATGTTACCGTATATATTGATGAAAAAATACACTTTGCTGAATACTTGGCGGAGCAGGAGAAACTTCAATTTCTTTGATACCACTTTTCCTTTTTACCCTTTGCAAAGAGCTGTCTAATCTTGTGTCGTGTCGTCGGTGCAGGAATACCACCCTCTCTGGGCTCGTGGACGCGGTGGCTGAGCTGATCCACTTTGTTGGAGGGATCTCTACTGTCGCGTTGCAGTTGGAAGACAACGCCACTTTCTTGCTGTATTTCATCCTGAATTTCTATGAGACTGTATGTATCCCATTCATTTTGGCTTTCAAAATCGTAGGACTCTGCATTTTTTTTAAACTAGAGCATGAAAACACCTTCCTCGTTATAGTTTACAGGACTTTGTGATTAAATGCAAGAATGCTCCAAACACTTGGGAGATCTACAGGTGACAGCTGGTGCATCTGTAGGCAGAACTAAATATGCTGCTAGAAAGAGGTTGCTTGTGGAAGGGGGATGTAACAACATGGCATAACGTGCTTTTTTAGTGCTAGTTTATAGGAAATAACAACTTTGAGTTCGATTTCAAACAATGTGTCCTGACTTTTTCCTTAGAAAATGAATTTTTTTCCCTTAGAAAATGAAGCTTATTCCCCTGTTTATTCTGTAGACAAACTAAGCAACATCCAGTGGGCCTAAGCCGACTTTCTAGCTTCTTCGTGTGCTCTCTGTAGGGGTTCTTACAGCTGCGTAAACTCCAGCCACGCTGTTGTTGCTCCTGCAATTTGGATAAAATTGTGAAGAGTTGAAAAATCGATGATGGTTCTGGGAGCTCCTTGTAACTAAAATGTCCATTAAAAATACACAAAATGAAGGGGCAGCAACGTTTGCAAAATGTGGTGTGTTTAAAATAGGTTAAATGCTCATTTTATGGGAATACACAGAGAATCATGCACCCTTCGATATACAATTATCGGTGCCCTAGCAGACAATTAGGATTTGGGTTTTTTTTCCTTGAGATTTTGCTTATGTATTCAGAACTCTTGTGACTTCTAAAAACACACAGCTGAGATATTAAGAATTTAGATTTCTGAAAATACCAGTGATTCAGTTTTACATACAAATAGCTGACTATACCTTACATGGTATAGCTGTACTGGGGACAAGAGGAAAGGTGAAAGTCTGGCAAACTGTCTTGAGTGAAAAGTCTGCAATGAGATGAGAGGAAGAACTCCTAAACCAGTTGTTGTGCTGAATTTAACAAGATGTAAAAAGTATCTGGCTTTAGGCTGTCACAGCCTAATTGTTTCATGGCCTGAGCTGTAGTAACTAGATCTGCATGTTCTTAGACCACTGACAGTGCTCCAATATTAAAAACAAACAACGAAAACCACAAAAATAACCCCCCTGCTCTTCTGAGAATGATGCACACCTTTGGGAATAGTTACTGTGGCTCACCTGCAGAGGACAGTGATATGTTAAGTTACAGCAATATTGCTTTTGATTATTTTTTCATACTGTAAAGCTGTCATTATAGCTGAAGGTCTTGTTAAATCTGCAGGAATTTTAAAGAAACTCAACCTTAAATTCCAAATGTGAGTCTGATAATAAACCCGTGTGGCCATATCTTCTTTTCTTAGAGCGAAGCTTTATCGTGTGTTCATGCGATTCCAGCAAGGTCAAATAGAAAGATGTAATTTCCCAGTTGGAAGAGGTGCTTGGCTTTACTGCTATCAGCAAACCAGGTTAGGAACAAGGTCAGATCTAGTGCAATTCCAGCTTTGTATGCTGGAATGAGCTAAAAGATCAGGGAAAAATGGCTGCTGCCTTTTTTTTTTTTTCTTTTACAAGGGTCTGAGTAGATTCAATTGAACAAGTAACCATGTCAAAACATATGGTTGTACCTAAATGGTTGCAGCAGAGACTGAGATCTGAACTGATGAACTGAGAAAGAAACAAATGGAATTGCTTCACCCCGGCCTTCCCTCCTAGGTGAAGTTGATGGAGCTGGCTGAAGTGCGGCGTCGTGCCTCCTTTTGCTCTGAAACGCCTCAGGGTTTGTTAATGACAGTAATAATCTGCCAGAATTTGCTTCATTCCTGCAGGTGTGTGACGTGTACCTGAAGTACAATCTGCCTTTGTTGATAATGCCTCCTGCTGGAGTTTTCTACCCAGCGCTTCTCAGCATGGATTCTGTCAACTTGAATCAGCTCTGCTACATTATGTACAGGTACTACAAATGGTGTGGGCTGGAGGGACTCCTCGTCTTCTTTCAGTCTTGTGGACGTGAACTTACTTTGGTGTAAAATCCAAACACCTACTCTTTCTGACCGTGCAAGGCAAAAGCGAAAGTTCTGGTTGCAGCCAGCTTTCACGATATGGGATCATGGAATCATAGAACGTTTGAGGTTGGAAGGGACCTCTAGAGATCATCTAGTCCAACCTCCCTGCCAGAGCAGGATCCCCCAGGGCAGCCACACAGGAACCATCCAGGCGGGTTGGAAAGTCTCCAGAGCAGGAGACTCCACACCCTCTCTGGGCAGCCTGGGCCAGGGCTCCGGCAGCCTCAAAGCAAAGAAGTTTCTCCTCACGTTGAGTTGGAACTTCCTATGTTCTAACTTATTTCTAGTTCTATTGCTGGGCACCACTGAGAAGAGATTGTCTCCTTCCTCTTGACACCCACCCCTCAGATATTTCTATACGTTAATAAATCCCCTCTCAGCCGTCTCCTTTCAAGGCTAAACAGCCCCAGTTCTCTGTCTCTCTTCCTAAGAGAGATGTTCAAGTCCCTTAATCATCCTTGTGGATTTTACAGCTGTAGTTCCTACTTTTTTTTTTTTTTTCAGCCTGTTAGCCAAAATAACAGGATTCTGGCCTCTTTGCTAGTATTTCTGTGTCTTTGATATGTGAAGGAATTCCCATGTTGTTTTTGAGGGAGCTTAAGTCAGCCAGCTGTAATCGCTGGTAGTTAACTGGACAACTTCTCACTCTTGTGCTTTGACTGCTCGCCTTGAGCTTTCCCTTATGAATTCTGTAACGTGCTCAGTAGGAAGCACTTCTGCCACCTCCGAACGCTGTCGGAATTTGGGGCTGCCTGTAGGTTCAAAGACAGCCCTGTTTAGCTTTCCACAGGATTCACCAACACGGCCGCTCTTCTTGGCCTTGTTAGTTCCAGTGGTTGCGTCGGAGAAGGAGAGAAGCCAACTGCTGACAGCTGGCACAGGGCTCTCCATGTGGCTTTTCCTCTGAGGGATCTCTGGGGTAATTAATGTGACAGGATGGTCTCTGGGAAATAAGAGGAGCTAGTTCTTCTTATATAGAACAGCTGTCAAGTCGCATTATTTCCAGTGGCTTCCGCTTCTCTGCTTAGTGAATGGAAGTCTCCCTTCGTAAAAACGCACCGCGATTTTCCACTGACTTGAAGGCTGTGTGTCAGTTCTTGCATATTGCTTTTATGAGGGTGACTGTCCCAGGCAAAAACTGGCAACGCCTTTATCAGGTAACAGATGAATATTATGGAGGGTCTCCCTGCTATGCCTGCAAAGGGTGGGTCTGTGCCAAGTGATAAAGTCCCTTTGAATTCTTTTTTGTGTCTCTCTTTTTTTGATCTCTCTTGTGCAGGAAATAAGCTTTCTTAACATATTCCTTCAGCTTTTTTTCAACACTGTTAAGTAGTAAAAATTTACAGCCCCCCTAACTTTCTCTTCTGCTTGTTTTTTTTTTTTTTTTAATCAGGTATCGAACAAACTTGGTGGCTGCAAAACAAAATGAGCTGAGTAAAAAGGTATTGTGGATAAACGTGCTAGAACGGACTTTAGCAGGGAGTTGAGTTGAATGGGGTGGGGGCAGGTGTTCTGAGGGCATTTTTTTAAGGACTGGAGCGAGCACACACCTGAGGCTGCTGTTTATTGATTTATCTTCTTGCCCTCAGAAGATACTGCAATTCAAGTTCAGCAGCCGGACGTACCAAGAGTACAACCAGTACATAATAGCGATGGTGGGTTGTCTGTGGACATCCAGCGTGTTCCAGAAGGATATACATCCTCAGGGTCTTCGTATGGATGACGAGCTGCTGAAAAAAACCACAGTGCAGGAATTCAAAACCAGCTTTAACATTGTCTACCACCCAGCCATGATGGGCTATGCTGTCCTCTTCCTGCAGCAGGTAATGGCCTTGGCCAACATTTGGGCCTTTGGCAACACCAGACATTCTGTCCTGACAACTTCTTGACATTTAAGCTCCAAGACAAGAAATACGTAGTTAAGTTGTATACAGGGATGCACGGCAGAATTGTGTAGCAGTGCTTTCTGCTCTTCCCAAATTCATTTATACATTATGCCTTTGTTTGTATACTCAGTGTCCGGATTCTAGGTAGTTGATTAAACCCCGGGTTTGTCTTTTTCCGGAGGAGACTATTTTATTTTTGTTATATACAACTTCTTTCCCTTGGTCTTTCCTATGGTTTTTCATATCTTTTGTCTAGATCCTTTTTGTTCGACGGCTTCCTGATTAATTGTGGCTTTTGTAAGTAAAAAAAAAAAAAACAACCCACAAAACACCAAACAACAAACCCACAAAAAGAAGCCAAACAAACACACAAACAAAAGCTTCTGGTGGAGAATTTTTTTATTCTTTGTACTGCAGAACCAAGAAAGAGCAGCTATCGCAGATGTGTCTTAAGACAGGAAAAAATACTTGGCTGCGGTGCCATCTTTGCTTAAAAGCTTCGGCGCTGAGCACCAGAGGGCACTGCTCTGCAGCACAGTCGGGGAACACAAGCACTAATCTTAATGCCAGGTTTTCTCTTCCTCTTTCTCCTTCCTGGGAAACATCTATCTAAAGTTTTGAAGGGGCAACTGTCACACTGTAGAGAGACAATGCTTAAAGATACCTGTAAATATCCTGTGATGGTGCAGCACAGGACAAGGGGGTTCTCCGCAATCTCATTCTTGCTGCTCGTGGACACAGTCTGATGCGAGAATTCTGAAACGTGATTCTGATTCTGAAACGCGATTGAAAATCTCAGCATTTCTTTGCACACCTGCAATGTCTGATTTAGCAGGGGAGTAAGCAGAGGCTCAGCAGCTCCAGGCATACTTCTTTTATCTGACTTTGACACTGTTTTTATTCACTCTCCTGAAGGCTTGGCCAGATGACACCACCCTCAACTTCAGCTTAATTAAGGTAAGATGTTGTGGTTTAGTGATGTGGAAGCAGGCAATTTTCAGCAGCGGTGTAGAAGAGGTTGAGGTGATAGTATTTCCCAATTCCACAAATACCCTATAAAAAATTTGAAACGGGAGAATTCCAGCTGGAGACTTTGGTTCAGTCTCTTCATGGGACCAAACACAAGGACATCAACGACTTAAAAGTTACGTATCTAGCCATCTGTGGGTAGCGGTCTCAGATTTTTAAATATTTCCCCTGTGAGTCAGGGCAGGATCAGGACAAGACTGTTTATTGTTCTCTGCAGGCTCTGGAAAAAGCTATATTTTTGGTGTACTTGAAGCAGAATTTCTACTGTCAACAAAAAATATTAAATTTGAGGTGGATGTGTAGCTTTGCTATAGCTTTGAACAGGGATTCTCTGCTGAGCAGTTGGTTTCCTTTCCTGTATCACAGTGTACTTCAAACCTGTTATGGAGGAGTCGCCGCTAGTGATGGAAGGAAGGATTTAATATCCGTGTTCATTTGCCTCCTGACATTTTCACTGTTGATCCAATAGACCTGCCTCTTTTTAGAACTGGGATTTATAAACACCTTCAGTATGAAAAAAAAATAAGAATTGTGATTTGTCCTGTTCCAAATGTGTAATTCCTAATGTAAAAGTTTGGGCATTTGGGACGTGATCCTGTGTACCTGTGGGTATTTGTTGTCAAACTGTGGGAGGTGTGATGTTTGCGGTCCTTTTCGGCCTGGCCTGAGGAGGAGAAAAAGTTGTCCCCTGCACATCTGCCTGTTCTTTCTGCCTTTACAGGGAAAGACGTGGAACTGGTACCTGGAATACCTCTACGCTGAAGGTTTAAAGGGTCTGAAACTCTTTATTGAAAGCAGCATCAGTCGTGTTTCCCAGGCCTCTCACGGTAAAGCAGGAAACGTGCAAGCGTGACCTTGGGACTTGCTGGAGCCTTTTTATCACCTGGAGCAGGAAAGCAGAATATAATGGACTGTGCCACTCATTCTTCCTTCCTCAGAGGAAAGAAATGGCAATCGCCCTTGCCTGCATTTTAGTACTGACTTCTGGTTTAGGAAAGTGAAAACAGGGAAGGAATGCGTAGGCTGGCTTGGTTCCCTAAACTGAAGCCCCTCTTGTCTTGAACTTCTCTGGTCTGAAACTGTTGAGCTTCTTTGTTATATATCATCGATGTTTCTCATCCTTGTTTTTCCTCCATTGGAGTGTACCTGCTTGGATCGAGAAACAAAGGTTTTCCATCTCAAAACTGCGATGAGCAGTGCTGCTTCACTTACCAAAGTAGTGTTGATTCCCTGACCTGTTTTGATGACAGATAATGAGAAACAATCTGATCAGCCTGGCAGGGAATACCCGACAGGTACCGGGTTGGAGCATTACGAGTTTCCCAGTTCCCTGTTGGACTGTGTATACTGGCTTTGAACAAGTTGACCAAACTGGCCTTCCTGAACTTCATTTTCATCATGAAACATCCAGAAAGCACCTTTTGCCAACACTGCTTATAACATTCTTCCAATGCACCTGGAAAATTTGGGACTCGGTTGATGGATCATTGATGGTTTGAGCACTTGAACGATGTTGCCGCCAGCTCCCTGTTTTCTATCGAGAAGTGTAAATGTAGCTTTCTGTTTTGTGGTTTTAGCTCTGTATGTATTGTGTATTATACATGTGTATATATGTAATTTATATCCTGTAAAATGTTCCCAACATGCAATTTTGAAGGAACTCTGCTGCGAAACATTATCTTCTGCTGTTATTTCATTTTAATGCTGAGTAGAAGTCGGGAGAAACTGAACTCGAGTCTCCAGAATTTCAGCAAACTTGATTTCACTGCTGTAAAATGAGGTGGGAACCACTCGAAACATGGGTCAGAGCAGACTGAATTTTGCATTGTGAATCTGTGCTTTGATCCAGTAAAAGAATCGGTCCTGAGAGTGACTCCAGAACCACTAAGGATGTCTTTTCTTTGGTTTCTTAGTCCTCTCAACATCAGACTGGTTCTGGGTTGAGTGTGGTATTTCTCACTTCAAAGAGATGATCTGGTTACTATGTGTATATACATTTATGTGTGTGTGTGTGAGTTAGTGTGTGTGTGTACATATATATATAGAGATACAGACACATATATATATTCTCTCCAGTGAATAAGAACATCTTTCACTGAAGGCTTTGAGAGAGATTTGCAGAAAGATCTGCTTAGACTAAAGTATTGCCCTTTCTCCTCTGGCCAAGTTATGCCAGCTACTCTAAGTGCTGCTTGCTAATTTCTGGCAAGAGAAGCAGATCTTTCAAAAACCCTGATTATATTTTTTCAACAAGGGACACCGCAGAAATTACAAATTCTTCCAAGTGGATATGTTTTAAGACAAGGCCCTAAAGTGCAACCAGTTATCTCCTTTAAAGGCTGCAACTATTTTGGACCAGCTCAGCTCTCAGGACTGTCGCAACCCCCCTGGCTGGCAATCCCTATTACGGTGTTGCCTTTTCTTTGTCAGGCTCCTTAAAGGTTTTAGCTCCTTCGCTGGGGTAGGAGAGCCCTCTGCCTCCATAATTGGTTTAGTTCGAGCCAGGAAGACAGATTGCATGTTACCTGGGTGCTGTTTGAAGTTTATATGGAAGGAGGAGAGCTCTGTCACATTCCTGTCAAGACGGGAAGATGCAGCCAGTGGCTTCATTTCAGCTGTGAAAGGCACCTAGATTAAGAACGTATGTGATGTAAGTAAATATGTTTAAAGCGGCTTATAGCAGAATCCTTTAGAATATACTGAATATTGTCTAGTTATTGGTGTCAGAGAGCAGTTTTGCCTTGAGGTTGGTGTTAGGTTGAAAAAATTGTGTTATGAAAGACTGCTGTTGCAGCATTACAGATTCTTTATTATATCTTGTGTTACAAAAGCCTTTAAACAAGTTATGTACTGTTTTTTCATTCAAGTACACAGGCTGGATGCTTAGGGGTGCAGAAATAAAGTAACAGGGCAGGGAACTTCCCTTTAATGTCAGCTTTGATCAAGGTGGCTGTTTAAAATCCTTCCCATGCAGTAACGACGTGCCTCATATTTCTGGGCACTTGAGATAAGTTGTAGCCTCCTCCTCCATCTTGGAAATTCGTATTTTCTTTCATATCTGAACATATTTTCTTGATTTTTTTTTTTTTTTTCCCCCCCCTAAATATCAGACTTCAATGACATTCCACTTGGATGAAAGAATGGTCCTTTCAGGGAGGAATGTGCTGCCGTACGTCTTCCTTGCCCACTCCCCTCTTTTACCATCCGATCACCGTGGTATATTTTGTAGACTATTTTGTATTACAAGCATGTGCTCGAAGACTTGGCTGACCACAGCGTCTGCTCTGAGAACTCAGATGGAGCCAGTCAAGATCCGTGTCCGTTTCCTGGTAAGTGACAAACCAGTGATTTCCCTCTAGTGCCCATTTCTACTCACTCTAAGGTGCTGCCTGTATGCGCCCACCATGAAACGGTGGCGGAAACGATGTTTTGTTGGTATTATTTGATAGGAACAGCATGGGATGAAAAGTTCATTTAAGGCTCACGTTGTCAACCAGCACCCCAGAATATTTAAGTTTTGGTCAAGTCTGCCACCTCCTTCTGAAGAAATTATATTCACCATGATTCACGAAAATGCAAGCGCGTGCTTTCGTGGCGCTTGGATCTGCTCCCGAGGCTTCTTTCTAGACACTGTTTCAAGGTCCGAATTTCTAGCGTTGGCTGGTCTCAGGTAATGCTGGTTTGCGCCCAGTTCTCCCCATGAGTAAAATTTGATGACTCGCTCCAATTCCTGCCTGGCCTCCCTTCCCAGGAGGCTGCTACGTGCTTTTGATTTCAGCATTTTGGATTATTACAAGCAGGTCGGAGTAATGGCCGTGTCGGCTTAACCACGTTCTGCAGGTTTTCTAGTAGCCTGTTTAAATCCTTCCAAAAAGTGAATTCCTTCCCTTAGAGAAATCTCTGGAGTGGGTATTTGATAGGATTTCAAAGGACAGGGCCAGAATCCTGCCTGGGGTAAGCAGGCGTAGCTTTAGTAATTCCTAATGGCTCTGCAGCTGAGTTGCACCAGCTGAACATCTGGCCCAGGGTTCACAGAACCAAAGCTGTTAACCCCTCCTCTGTCAGATGCATTGGCCCCAGCATTACGCATCTGAAAATGCAAACGCCTCGGTCTAGAGTTCAGCTGAACTCTTGCTGAAGTCACATTTGCTCTGATCCTGATTTTATTTTGTGGGGAGAGACTCCTTTGTGCTTTTTTACGCGTCAGAGCTTGCTCTGAAAGAGTTAATTTCAACCTGTTTTCAGCTGGAATGAAGAAACTGGTTCCTCTATGTCCCTGTTTTCTATTCTCTTGTTGGCCTACTTCCCTCTGCTTGCATTTTGCATTCCTAATGCCATGAATAAATCAGGACCCAAGGATTTAGAAGGTGGTACAGCTGTAGCCACTCAGAAAATCGAACCTCTGAGGCTTGTGCTGCAGCTCTAACAACTGCCTGTATGCGTGCTCCTGAACTCCTAACATTTAACAGATAGTGAAATAAGACTCACTTTGCCTTTTTTAGATAATGATTTAAGTTTTTTTTCTGCTGCTACTCAGTCTCTCCTCACTTGGCTCCCTTTGTCTTACAGCTAAAGCTCCGTTACAAGCCCTTTGGGGCAGGGCAATCGCTTCCCAGCTGCTGTGGCGAAACGGTTTATCGCAAATCTGAGCACAGAGGGGAAAAGAATAAGGGAAACTGAAGGATCTGACCCGGCTAAGGGTTCGTTTTCTCTACAGAATCACAGCAAAGTGAAACTCCTGCCTGGCTAAGGTCCTAGATCCTCTGATAACTTGTCATTACTAATGCTTTTGTTTGTAGGGCTGCGACTCCCGAGAGAGAGCGTGTGAGGGAGCTCTCTTTGTGTGCTCTTTCGTCAGAGGATACATCCAGTCTGGATGGAGAACAACAGATGTTGGTAATAAGCTTGCTCTAGAGGATGGATATCTTGAAAGAACAAAAGCTCCAAGGATTTTCTTCCAGGAAAGATGATTCTATGTTGTACCACTGGCTTTTTCCTCATTATCGCTCTGGTTTTTAGAGAGCTCGGATTTTTAGAATAAATAGCATAGATTTTCATTTGATTTCACCAAACTTTTGACTAAAAAGATCTTTTATGTCCTTCTTAGCATATGATGACAGGGTTCTTGGCACAGGATTCCCAAGATCTGTATCTAGCTGTTAGACCTGCCCAAGTAACTGCCAACTACTTAAAGTTGGCAAGGGAGGTATTTAAGTACGTAAATAATGTTTGGTAAAGTGCACATCTTGTGATGCTGCTTCATTTCTCTGCTCTTCAGTTTCCTGCCTTGTAGGAGTAAAAAGTCTGCGCAGCAGAGGGTAAGGTTTTTAAAAACGCCCTAATTATTTTGGCATATAAATTTCATTTTCAGTCTTGCACAAATGTAAAAACTGAAGCAGTTGGTCAAAAAAAAAAAAAAGAAAGAAAGAAAGAAAAAAAGAGCCACAAGTACCTAATATAGGCTCTAAATACTAGTTTAACCTTGACAGCTTTTCGAAATCTGCAGGCTCAGATGTGATCCCATTCTGCAGCTGCATGAGCGAACATGGGTTAGTCAAGCTTTGGCACCTGCCACATATTTCATATATATATATATATATATATATGTTCAGCTGTATCCCTATGCAGTATGACTTATTCTCCTTCAGTATCTGTGTTGCCTGTAAGTCAAGTACGATCTCTGCAGAAAGAGGCTGCTCTCTGGGTTTTCTCCTAACCCTCTCTGTAAATGAGGAGGGGGATGAAAAGCACGTTGTAAATGCGTCGGGCAGCTTTTGAAGAGCAGAATAGCCCCTGAAAACCACCTGTTTGCTTCCCCTTCTCTCCTGCATTTCTCTCCTACCATTCTCTCTT